TAAATTTTTTAGTTCAGAAATTATTTCTGATCTGATTTCTTCTATACCTTTCTGCAGTTGTTTCTTTACTGCCAACGCTATTATTTCAGAGATATCTGGTGTGTGATTTCCAGTCTCCTCAGTGCTAGTGTCTTCTGCAGTTGGACTGGGGGCCTGAGACTGCATTTTGCTCCTTCTCTTTGTCATTTTGCATACCATTGTCTTCTGACCTTTGGTGTAGAGCTTGGATAGAGTTATTACCTTAGCACCAGGTCCAGATCTACAAAGTTCAGATTCCTCCAGGTGGGGGTTGTTTGGATCTGGTTGCTGTGCTCCACTTCTTTCTGCTGCAGCCGTTAGAGTTGAACCCTTTGTGTCTCTCTGGCAAGATGTTCTGCTCCTGAATCAGCTGGGTGGGTCTTGCCTCTAGCCTCTTTGCAGGAAGTTCTGCTGAAGGGTTCCTCGCTGGGCTTGCACTCTGGGTTGAATGAAGATCCGCGGGCCCTGGGTGGTCTCACTCACTCGTGGGGCCTGCGCTCTGGGTCAATTCAGTATCCGGAGGGCCCCCACTTTGATCTTTTTGAACAGGTGATACTGTTGCACAATTACAACAGAGTACATTACAGTGTAAATCTAACCTTTATATGCACTGAGAAACCTAAACTTTTGTGAGACTCACTTTATCACGTCAGGCTGTAAACAAACCTGTGATACTTCCAAGATGTATCTGTAATAGTTTTGAAACTAAGTAGAGTATTTTTAACTTTTTGTACTTTTTCACAATTCTTTTCTCTTGTCTGCTATTTTGGATATTCACGTCAATTTTATAATCATTTCACTAATGTCTACACAAAAGCCTGTAGGGATATTGAGTTTTACATGAAAGCTGTAATTTGGAAAGAAGTGGCATCCTAATCATACATTTTCCAAGCCATAATACAGTACAGCTCCCCATTAATTCAGCTCCTCGTTAGTATCTTTCAGCAATGTTTTATCACTCTCTGTGTACAGATCTTATACTTCTTTTGTTAATGTATTCCTCTTTCTGTATGTGTGTATTTGAGATTGTATGCCTGAAGCAATTTTATTTTTGGACTGTCCATTCCTAGGATACAGATAAACAATTTATTTTCCTATACTATTCTTATACAATGATGTTACTACATTCAAATATGATTTAGTTGCCTGTATTTGGTAGATTCCAAAGTGTATTTTATCTGCAAAATTACATTTTTAGGAATAAGGAAAATGTTTCTCTTCGTTTTTTAATAGGGATACATTTTTTACTCTTTTTGCCTTAATGAATTGGCTAGAATGAACATAATAATGTATGATGTAAGACTTTTTATTTTTACAATGTTTGTTTACATTTGGTAGAATTCATCAGTGATGCCATATATGTACCTGGTATTTTCTTTGTGGAGATAATTTTGATAGTTCAACTTTTCTAATTGATTAATTTACATTTGGATGATCTAGTTTTAAGTCAGGTTTTGTATTTATGCCTTTCTATGAGACATCCACTTAACTGGTTTAATACATTAACAAAAGGTTTTGGTGCAACAGTTATTTTAGCATCAGAAAGGTTAGGACTCTTTCTCACTCCAGATTTTGATAATATTTATTTATTTTTCTTGGTTAGTCTAGACTGTTAGTAATCAAATTGGGTTTTGTTTTTTTTTTTTTACTTTTTAAAATGAGAAAACTTTTGAGTTCACTGATCTTTTTCTAAGTTTTTTGAGAAAGGGTCTTGCTTTATAGGTCAGGCTTGCCTCAAACTCAATATGCAGCTCAGACTCTCCTCAAACTAGTATTTTTTTCTCTTTTTAAATTTTTTTCATTAATTTTATTGGAAATCAATAATTACATAGCATATTAAAATTGTAGACAAATACTGAAATGTGAAAGATATAAGATGACAGAGGGAAATTTCAGAGAAATATTTCTAAAATGAACACATAGCATGAGATTAACAATAGATTGCACATTGTAAATAAATTATTTACAAACTTAAATGAATAACAATAAAAACAATAAAAATTGTTCAAAATAAAGATGAAGAATTTACAGATCAGTCATATAATAGTTCACTTTGTGCCAAAATCAAGAAACTTAAATTCATATAATTAGAATTCTCAAAGTAGAAAGGGGTAGGCAATAAATACTTAAAGATTTAAAATTTCTGAATTTAGTTGAATTTATAACACCACATTTCCAAGAAAAATGAACCTTTTGCACAAGAAATTTGATTAAAATCACACCAAGATACACAAATATGAAATTTTCAAAAATTTATTGTAAAGAAAAAAATAATTAAATCATATACATAAAACTATTAGCTATGGAAGAAAAAAATTGATCCTCCTGCCTCACCCTCTTGAATGCTGGGATTATAGGTGTGTGTCATTGCAACTTACATCTTGTCCGGTTTTATACTTACCCACAAATTATTAATTATAAAAAGTTACCTAGATCATTTCTGGTTTTGGTGTCATAAAGAGGTTGGAAATCTCTACAATAAAGTTTTAATATTTAAAAATGTGTAGATAAACACTTGTAGTTAATATAACTTCTCTACAGATTGGAATTAAAAGTTTAAACGCTGGGCTGGAGAGGTAGCTCAGCTGTCTAAGCACCTGCCTGGCAAGTGCAAGGACCCAAGTTCCATTCCCAGTAGCATGCCATGCTGGTCTGGGCATGGTGGTGCACCAACTGTAATCCCAGTACTGTGAAGGCTGAGAAAGGAAAATCACTACAAGTCTGAACTGCAGAGTGAGACCCTTTATCAAATGAATAAATAAACTTTGAACATTAAGATATTGGTAAAATTAAACAACTTTCATAAAATGCTATATTAAAATTAGTTTATGAAAGCAATTTATATTTAATACTTAGTAATAACTATGTGAATGTCATATTTAAAAAAATAAAAAAACATAAGCTCAGTGTTTTAGAGCTTATCCAAAATACGCATATATTAAGCTTAAATAATATGTTCATATTAAAGGATAATTATCTACTATGTGAAATTATTATACATTTTGGGTTTTTCTTTGTTCTAGGAACTGTGTTTATCTTCTTCCGAACTTTCCACTTGAAAGATATATGTGTATGAAAACACACATACTTTATAGATAATAAGCTATTTACACCACCTACTAATGCAGGTCCAATTTAAATAATGGAATTAAAAATTTTCAACTTTAAGACAGGGAAACTAAATTTGTTAACTATTGTTTTAGGATTCTTACTTTTCTATACTTTACACAATGTTATTCTTGCATAAAAATGTATTACTATCTTATTTCTCTAGGTTTGACATAAAAGCTTTGGACAATGTTATCAGAGTAAGAGCATATACCACATTAAGGTGCTGCTTTAAGCAGCAACACAGTTACATATTCAATTTCTAGCATATTCATTTAAATCTTAATTGAACTATTACATGGTGGTATCATATATTCAAGAGCAATTCTGTAAACTTTTGCTCTGTAAAGTCAACATAAATTACCACAACATTTTCCATATTTTTATTACTATGATCAGCCTTACCTTAGCTGCATGGTAAGTACATGCTTTGAATAAATCATCTCGTTTTGCTTCCTTGGCAAGCAGATTAAATCTACTTAACATTGCAGCCTTACAGAGTCGACTTGCCATTGACACACCACTTTTAAATGGAGAACTAAAGTAGAAGGAAACAGAGCACTCATTAACCATTTATCAGTGATTTACATTGACAATTGAAAGGATTAAACTCAAAGTCTAAAATATTTATGGATCTTTTATGCACATGGCAAACAGAAACTTCTGTTATATAAAAATCTTTCAAAACATTAAATTACTTTCTGAAGGCAATTTATACTAAATTATAGTTCTTACAGTATTACATCAAAAATTATATAAGCCATAGTTGGCTAGTTGCTTTTAAAGTAAAATTACTCTACAGTGATACCAACTAATTGAAATACTGATTAAAATGATATACTCTGACAATGGTGATGGATACATGGGTATATACATAAATGAATTTCTCATGCCATGATACAGTACTTTCTCTGCAACTGAAATATACAAAATACAGACATATATCTACTTCAAAACTCTCCAGTTAAATGTATATCTATATATGTACATGTATAGGTATACATGTAATTTGTGTTTCTAATAAAAGTGAGTCCATATGCATGGACTTTTTTCTATTTTTGCTGCATTTTTCATTACTCTTAAAGAGATTTTAAAAACTGCCAAATCCTTCACAGTGTCTGGCTTCAATGCTATGTACGATGTAACATTTCAGATCCAACCATAAATAGGTATGACTGACTTCCTTGTTTTTCCAGTATTGGAGATCAAACGTTGTCACTGAGTTACACCCCTAACCCTTTTAAAAATTTTCTTGAGGGTGTGGCTAAGTAATTAAGTTGCCCAGGCTAGGCTCAAACCTGTGATCACCTTGCATGGCTCCCTTCCCCTTGAATTTTTAATTTATTTATTCTTCCATTATGTATAATTTATTTCCATTATTTATTAGTTTAAAATTTAAGGCTTGTTTGGGGTGATAGCTCAGTAGTCTAAGCTCCTTCCTGGCAAGTGCAAGGACCTGGGTTCGATCCCTAGTATTGCAGGCTGTGCTGGCTACTTGAAACCAGGTGTGGTGGTGCACACCTATAATCCCAATGCTGGGGTGGCTGAGACAGGAGGATCACTATGAGTCTGAGCTGTGTAGCAAGACCCTATACCAAATAAATAAATTTTTTAAAAAGATTAAAATTTAAGGCTTACTTTCGATTTGCTCAAACTTTATGTAAGTTTTGATAGGTAATATTTTCAACACCCTTGTTTTCTAAATATTTTATAATTTCACTTTACATTTTTCCTTTGAAACAGAATTCAGAGAACTTTTTTCTCCATTGAAAGGAGCTTTTAGCATATGGATCGTTTATAGTTTCATCTCATCATAGTTAGAGTATATTGCTTTTTTTTTTTTGGTATCAGGGATCTAACTCAGAACATTGTGCTTGCCAAACAAGTACTTGTTCAGCTGAGCCATCTCCCTGGCTCCAGAGTATGTTTACACAGCTCCTACTCTTTGAATTTTCTTTTGGTCAATTTTTGGTCAAATTTTACACATTCTTGAAAGCTAATTGTATTTTATATTTTCAATCAAGTATATATTATTTCAAATGGCTACCTTCTGTTTTGTCCACTTGAACTACCATAAAGAGTGAATTAACATCTTGCTAGTTTTTATTTTTCCTCATTATCTTAATTTCTGTTATAAATGTTGATGGTATGTAATTGACTGAAAATGCTTCCAAAACAGTTCTGTCTTCATTAATAGTTACACTCTTTATGCTACTGAAGTATTGTTCTTTGCCTTATGGTGATACTTTGAAGGATGAATTACACCTTGTCTGATATTTAGGTTACATACTCTTTTTTCTTTTTTATTTGTATTCACTTAGTAAGTACTTGGTCATAAAACTGGTACAGTTATTTTACACTTATCAAATTTATCTTTGTTATGCAATTCTTTTATGTCTTCAGCAAATAGCTTCTAAATGTCTTTCATAGAAAATGTATTTTGTATATGTGTTGGTGAATCTGATATATGATCAAAGTACAAATAGTGTATTGTCTTAGTTGAAATAATTACTATGCTTGACTGAGTTCACTAAGAAAAAGTGGTATGTGGCCTGAGTTCAATCCTGTCCTTCATGGAGAAGCATTTTAAATGTTTAACATTATTCCTTACTTCATTATAAATGAATATTCACACTGAAAGGAAGGTTTTTAGTTTTTACTTCGTAATAAGTCACAGAGGTATTAGGAAATTGTCTAGAAGGCATACAGCTTTGTGGCCTTTGGATATAAGATGTCCAGATCAAAATCACAAATATGACCTTTACTATTTGAGTAACCTTACATAACACATGTAATCTACCTTGAACTTCAGTTTATCTGTAAAATAAAAAATACGCCATCCCAATGTATAGGTTTATTATATAAGAAAGCAGTATAATATGGTATAGTAGTTCTTGCACTAAGTATATCTAATTAGTCATGGGGTGGGCAAGTAAAAAAATGCAGAGTCCCAAGTCCAAATACCCAGAAATTCAATTTCAGTAGAAAAAATGGAATTTTTAGAATAAATTAATGTAATTCTAATGCTACTGGTCACAAAATGACAACTTGAAAAACACTGGTTCTGGAGCCAGATTCTGTGGGTTTGAACATTGGTTTCTCTACTTTCTGTGTAACTTTAGTAAGCTATGTAACTTCTCTAAGCCTGTTTTCTCAGCAGAAGAAAATGCTTTAGTTAGTATGTCTACAATATAATTGCCTAATCAAGTAAGAATAACTGTTTAGAATTCAATAGCATCCAAAAAAGAATAAAATTATGATAAAATGCCTTCTTTTGCTTAATACATAATTTTCAAATAAATTAGTAATTCAAACCTTTCAGTGATCTTCCCACTTAGGCCATCCACAATCTCCAAAGAAAGGTCCCCTTGTGCCCAGTTCATACTCAGAGATTTACATTCCAAATTCATTTGAAATGGATAAGCAGAGGGCACTAAGCTAATATGAGGCCTGTTGACTAAGTAAAACATTGGAAGTCTTGAAGTGAGTGCATCGTCAACACGTTGGTTTATTGCAATTTCTAAGCCTCTAGTATCACTGCAATTTCCATCACCTAGGAAAAAAACACTCAAAAACTCAGTATCAAAAGGAAATATCAAAAATAGGAATAAAAACTGGAAACACCCAAAGCCCATTTCTCTATCCTTTATTCAGCCTTCTCTTTCCTTCTTCTAATCTCTTAGCTGCTACTTTCATATTTCTGACTAGAATCAGGACAAGATAATGATAGAATGTTCATTATACTCAGTAAGCACAGAATATAATCTTCTAGCAAGTAAAGAAATCTTTCAGTTTAGTGAGTAAAAGCAAAGGGTCAATGCTGGCCCAGAAACAAACTGGTACTTTTTACATGGCTCTATGAATAAACCTGTTTGTTGTATCCGATTATTTGTAATAGCCATATGAAATCTGCACATCAGGCAGGTTTTAAATGCTGGTGGAGGTGAGTTATTTTCCAAGGTCTACTAACTACAAATTACAAGTATTCCAGTACCACAGTGTTCTGATTTCACAACAAAAAGTAATTCCAAGAACGACCATTCTGGTTAAAATTGTGCCTAACACCAAACACTTTGAATTTTCAGTTGCACTTACTGAAAAAAAGAGATCTCAAAAAGATATAATGTCATTAATATAAAATAGTGAACTGCATCAAACTTAAAATATAAGTCAGGGAGTACTCTTCTATTTAAAATATTTTTTGAAGCATTTTCTTCCTGAGAAGATGACAAATTTTTGCAACAATATGTGTATGTATATTTATTTATAAATATAATAAAATCATGTGTTTGCATATACATATTTTGCAGATAAAAGTTTTATTTATCCACCAATGTAATTGCTGAGATGGTTCTCAGAATTTAGACTCCTTATGATTGTCTAGGCATTAGTGATCTTAAAAGTGGATGCACTGCTTCTGACATTCTTTTTTCTAAGTATTCTTTTGTTCCAAATCAAGAACTGACAAATAAGATTTAAAAGCTAGCCAAATTAAAGGTATACTTGGACACAGTACAAAAGTTGGACAGTCTGAGGAATAGTTACTGTATCACTATTCTAATACACAGAAGACAAAGATTCAAAAATGCAATCATTTTACATTTCGATAATGACATCAGTTAAGCCTAATAAGTCATAGAAAAAAGAAAAAATGTTAAAAGTCAAGCACTTTATAAGATTCTTTAAACATCAAATTGCTTCACTTAGATGTTTTAATACGAAGTATAAAAGCTACCTGAACAGAAAAAATCAAATCTAGTCATATTTAAAATGTTACTTTTTTTACTATGTATAAATACTTCAATGATTGACTGTATCTAGATTTTAGTTATATTTTGAGGCTAAATCTTGTCCCTGGAGAAATGCATTTCTAAAATATATAATGGGAAATTTTGATTTATGAAAAATGATTTGAAATAAATTTACAATAAAAGGCTTAACATAATCAAAAACTACTGTTACCTGACAGCAGCTTATAGAGGAAAAAGAATCATAACAGTAGTAAGTTATTGATTGGATTTGACTTCAAGCTCTGTCAATAAGCAAACTGTTTTGAAAACTAGACAAAACTGCATAATACACATGACACATTACTAGATGTTTTTAAAACAGTCCTATAAGATCCTTTATTCAGAATGATATATTAATATATTCAGACAAGAAGTTATATCATATGACTTCTGCACTTTAACTATAAAGATTATTTTATCTACCCAAATATTGATCTCTTAGTGTACAGACATCTTATGAGAATTGTTGAACATGTAACTATTTCTATCAGAATCACCTGGTGATTTTCTTTTAAAATATATGTTCTGGGGCCTCATGTATCCTGTTTCTCCAAATAAAGATGACAAGATGTACAGAAATCCATATTTTTACATTCAAAGACATTAAAATGTACCTAAGAAATGCCAGATAGATTACCAATAATTAGGTTTAGATGTGTCCTACAAAGATGCCAAGAAAGAAAGCAAAAGCATTTTTTCCCAAAGCAAATTACTTTTATTGCTACCTGGTGCTTTAGGTTGTTAGGATAAGATGAAAAAATGATCAGATATAAGTTTTAAACCCTTGTTCTAAACCACTAAAAGAAAAAATAAGAAAATACTTTAATACAGAGTTATATCATACAAGTCACAAATTGAAAACATCTTTTTTCACAAATAGCAAATGCTTAAAGACATAGGCATAGGCATGGGCTTCCTGAATTTAAGAACCAAATAACACAAACATAATACCAAGAATCGGATTATGTCAAATTAAAAACATTCTTAGGAAAAGAAACAATCACTAGAGTGAAGAGATGAACTACAGAATGGGAAAAAACAGTTCTGCCAGTGACTCCTCAGATAGAAATATAATATCCAGAATATATAAAAAACTAAAAAAGACCCAATCAAAACTGGGCAAACTAAAATGAGACACATTTCTCAGAAGAAATACAAGTGAACAATAAGTACATGATAAAATGTTCAGCATCTGCAGCCATATGAAAATTACAAATCAGAACAATACTGAGATTTTATCTTACTCTAGTCACCATGGAGACTATCAAGAAATCAAAATGAACAAATTCTGGTGAGGTTGCATGGAAAAAGAAGCCCTTCTATATTGTTGTAGAACTAGTACAAGCACAATGGAAATCTTCATGGAGAGTCCTAATAAAATCACTACAACTAGAAATTCCTTTGACCCATTTATACCTCTTTTGGGTATTCAAAATAGTTAAAGGCATCATGTTACAGTGATGTATTTCCATGTTTATAGCAATAAACCTCATCTTTGCTAAATCATGGAAGTAGTATACATGCTAATCAACAGATAAATGAATAAAGAAATTATATGTATAATATATAGTACCAATTCCACACAAACATACATATATATATGCACATATATATGTTTGTAGGTTTGTGTGGAATTGGTACTATATATATGAATGCTAAATACTCAGACATGCAGGATAAATTTGACTTATCTGCAGGATAATGGATGGACATAGAATACTGCATGGTTTCTCTAATATAAGAGAAACAAAATATACATAATTTAAAGAGCAAAATGAAAGAAGTGATAGAAAAAAAAAGGAAGCAGATTCTAAGGAGCTGGGCAGGCAGTCTAGGGAAGGAAAGAAAGGCAAAGGTAGAGAGTAGGAGGAGGAACAATGATCAAGATGCTATATGTATAGGTACCAACATTCCAAGGTGAATGTTAAGTACTATCTTTTGCAAACATACACTAATAAGAAATTAAAATAAACCATGGGTCCCAGCAGTCTGGGCTACAAAGTAATCTTAAGGCCAACCTGAACTGCATAGTGAGACCCTGTCTCAAAATAAGTGAAAGAGAGAGAGAGAGAGAGAGAGAGAGAGAGAGAGAGAGAGAGAGAGAGAGAGAGCGAGCGCAGTAGAATTATGTCATACAAATAACAAATGATAAATACCTTTTCACAAAGTCAAAGAAAGCTTTGAAGGATGGGAGGTAGTTCAGTAGTCTAAGTACCTGCCTGGTAAGTGCAAGGAACTAAGTTCCATCCCTGGTACCACATGTGCCCTGCAGAACCCCAGGTGCACTGTGCAGCCACTGAAACTGGGAGTGGTGGCACATGCCTATAATCCCAGTGCTGGGGAGGCTGAGACAGGAGGATCACTAGGAGTCTGAGCTGCGTAGTGAGACCCTGTTCCAATAAATAAATAAAATATTAAAAAAGAGAAAGTTTTGCTTACCAAAGCTAGATTTTAGAGAAATCAGAGACACATTTGTTACAGACATTTATTAAAAACAAAATTCCTTTAAAGAAGTCAGAAAAGTTTAAAGTATATTGAGATGATCTGTACTGGCTAAAAGAAATAGTGAACAAGAACTTTAGTAACTAAATTAAATCTTTTAAAAACTGAGTCAATAGTTCTTTATTTATAACAGCATTTGGAAAAAGCAGAGTAGGAAACAGTTTCTTTTGAGGTGTTATATAAAATCTAAAAAAAGCTGGAAAAACTGAATACAAAAAGAATACAGAATATATACATCAATATAAGCAAATTATTGATATAAATGAAAGCACAAAACTAATGAGGTATGCTTCCACAGTGGTCCAATGGGTGCCTGGGGCACTATAAAGGGAGGGAGACTTTTCATTGACTATGCCCTTTTCAGTCTTTTGAATTATGATTCATGTAACATATTTCCTATATAAATTAGTCTAACATTAGCAAAATAAATAATAAACATTTTTCTTTTCATTATACCTTGAATGTATATAGAGCAGGAAAAAATAATACTGATAAGAGAAATTCCTATGAGATTGGTATAAAATATATAGAACAAAGTAAAACAAACAAAAAAAATCCAGAATAGCACTAAAAACAAAAATGTTACCACATGAAGATCTAAAGTTTATCCATGGATTCACTTCAAATTAACAATAAGCCAAAAAAAGCCAAGTGATAGTAGTAAATTTTTCATCAAGGTCATGGGAAAATTACAGAAATGAGCCCAAACTATTAAAGAGCTAATATCTGTAGGACCATCCAAATATAAATCCAATATTCTGAAATACCTCCTCGGTTAAAGAAAGATGCTATTTTGAATGCTAGTTATTTCATACTCTTTGAGCCAATTAAAAGGATGGCAAAGAACCAAAACAGGCATTTAACATTTTCCGTACTTCAAAAAGATAAGTTAATATAATACAATATAAGCTTTTAGATTTCAGAAGTTCAAGAAAGTAACTTCATGCCAAAGAAAGGTGAGAGGAAATAGATACTGTGCAACCAAAAGTTCAAAATAGAATATACCTAATTAGCTAAGCTGAAATATTAATTCTTCATCCCTTGGTAAAATGGCAAAAGTTGTATCACACTAAATGTGATTACAACTTACCATGAGACAAAATAGCTTAACCAAAAAGAGAATTTGTGTTTTGACCCTGAAGTTTCATGTATACAAAAATAAATTTTAAGCTGACAGTATGAGAATTTACTGAACAGTGTAAGGAGGTACTGAAATCTCACTTACCAACAAGTATATTGCTGATATAAACTGGCTGTATAAAGTGACTCAGCAATGCTCCCTGTACACCAAGAACTTCCCATCTTGTCAACTTGTCACTTGAGGACATACTGTTCACTCTATCAACAATGTCTGCAGGAGAGTAAACAGTGAGATAAATTTTGCCTCCAACAGCCACATGGAGACTCAGTTCTTCATTGGCTTCAAATGCAGATATAGAATTTGGATTAAGACGCCTAGAGAAACAAAAAAAGTTTCTTTTTTAAAAAAAGTATAACTGGGAAAGGAAAAAAGAAAGAGGAAACGAAAAAAAATACATATACACACATGATAGTTAAGATAGATATACTACTAATTGCTCTTAGCTCACTGAAAGAATGCCTATCCTGCTTGCTCAGTTTTCAATGCCTCTATCTTGTATTATAACCAACTACTTTGAAGATAACAATGCACAATGTACTGAACATTTTTACTATCTTACAATCTTGTTTTGAAATTTTATATCATTATTTTTATTTTTCTTAAAATAAAAAAAACATAATTGATAATACATGCACCTACTACTGCTCTCTACAATATTTAATTTTTTCACAATGTTTAATTTCTTAGTACAGTACATATTTAATTTCAGTAACATGAACAGATGCAAACACAAAGCAAAGTAGGAGGATTGACTCATACATGAACAAAACACAGAAAGTAATCATATTTAGAATTCTAGCATAGATACTTTCATTACTTTACTACTATTTATGTTTCTTAAAAATCAAATGAAAAATTCATTTTGTCCTTATCATAGCTTATAAATTATTTGTCCCTGTGAAAATTTTTAAAATCACAAAATGAAATGAAAAAAAGAAAAGTGCAGTTTTTATTCAATATTCACCCCCATGAAAAAGTGAAAACAATAAAATTGTAGAATTATTTTTCTTGAAATTTCTCTCTAGGGAATTCATCCTTATTTTTGAAAATATCATTAGACAGAATTTTTTTTCTTTTGCTCTTTATATTTTTGTACTTTGAGTTTTTTTTAAACATTTATTAATTTATTGTGTGTGTGTGTGTGAGAAAGAAAAAAAGTTTCTTTTTTAAAAAAAGTATAACTGGGAAAGGAAAAAAGAAAGAGGAAAGGAAAAAAAATACATATACACACAGTGTGTATATATGTGTGTGTGTGTGGCCAGCTCAGCCCACCAGGGGGCGGGGCTGGCTGGCATGTGGTGCTGGGGGATCGAACCGCGGCCCTGTGCTTTGCCAAGCTTGTTCCAAGTAGGTGCTTTAGACCACTGAGACATCTTGCCAGCCCCACTTTGAGGTTTTTATATGATAGAAAAAATATAATTATGCTTGTATGTCTGATTTATTTTACATAATGTAATGGTCTCAAAGTGCATGTTCTACAAATTACTCATATTTATTCTTTATGGCAGAGGAGTACCTCATTATGCATAAATGCCACATATTCTTTTTTTTTTTCTCTTTGTTATTTTTTTTTTTCTTGAGCTCTGGGACTAGAAATAATAGGCTTCTTGCCACAGAGTTACTTCCTCAGTTACTTCTTTTTTGTTTTTTTCAAAATTTTACTGATAAACAGCAATGAGACAGTTTCAAATCAAATCGGAAGTACAGTTTCAACAAATAATACACTGCATATATTCTTCTTAGTGGTTAATTGCTGTAC